GGGTTGCTTGAACTCTAGAAAAAGGAAATTATAATTCTGCTTTCCATGCTGTGATTTGGTCTCAGTGGGAACAAGGGACAATGGGAAAGGAGTGAGATGACCGAGATGGAAGAGGGTGGCCAAAAAAAAGATAACAGATGTACAAAAGCACAAGAAAAAGAAATCACCCTCTCCCACAGTTTTTTTTTGTTTGTTTTGGTTTTTTTTTTGATAAAGGCAATGGACACGTGGGGTAAGTGTCTCTGGAAGCAGCAGCGGTGGAGGAGCTCTGCCCTGCCAAGCTGCCAGGAGCCATCCGTGGGCATCCCGGGCCAACCGCAAGGGAACAGCTGCCAGGTCTGCAGTGAATTACTGCCTGTCTGGAGTGCTCCACTCATCAAGCATCACAAAAACCCCAAACCCAAACTGGGGGAGCAGCCAAGATGGAGAGAGGCCAAGAACCAGGGARAAGAAGCTCTCAGGGATGAGCTCCTGCAGCAACACCAGCAGTCTGAGCTTMTGCAGATGTCCCCATTCTGAACATGATTTGTCATTTATATTTATCTCCTAATAATTCTGACACCAGCAACTGCTTTTCTGAACTGCAGTTCTGCTCTGTAAACTCACTTCCTTCATCACTTCCTTCATCAGACAGCAGTTACATGCCCTGATGTAAAAGATGTTGAAATGCTTGGTCTTTCACCTCCTTTATAGGTGAAGAAACTCTGAACAAGCAATTTTTTTGTCATGAATTATCCTAATGGTGACTGTGGTATCCCTTATTATTGCTTCTCTGCATAGAAGCAGTTTAATTAACACAATAATTAATAAATTCATTTATAAATTCATTTCTCCAAGTAGACAGTGTCTCTAAAGCAAGGAGACAGCCCCTGGGTGGGGATGAGGAGGCAGGAGGGACCCTCGCTCCTTTTTTGGGGTGAAAATCACAGAATCACAGAATCACAGAACGGCTGGGGTTGGAAGGGACTTCTGGAGATCATCCAAGGCAGGGTCACCTGGAGCAGGTGACACAGGAACGGATCCAGGGGGGTTGGGAATGTCTCCAGGCAGGAGACTGCGGGTTCCAGAGCTCTGCCACCCTCAACAGAAAGAAATTCTTCCTCATGTTGGGGTGGAACTCTTTGTATTTAACTTTTATGGCCAATACTCCTCATCCTTTTGCTGGGCATCACCGAAAATAATCTGGGACCACCTTCTGGCACGCCTTGGAGATAATTCTATGGATTTATGGRATCCCCTCTTCTCCAGAGTGAAATCTGAAATGTGTAACTCATTCTGAGGAGCTTTTGGAGGCTCCTTCTGCACAGAAACAATTCCGTTAAGGGTGGAACACTTCATCGCAATTTAGGTGTTTATTGCGACTGAAGGATCCACGGATGCAGGTTTATTGTGATTTAAGCATTTATTGTGACTGGAAGTCCCACACAGACGGGCGTTTATCGCGAAGTAGACATTTATTATGACCAAGCGTCCTGCAGGCGCGTATTTATCACAATTTAGGTGTTAATTGTGACCGAAGGCCCATGAGCTCAGGTTTATGGCGATTTAGGCGTTTATTGCGGCCGATGATGGCACAGGCGCGGGTTTCACCGCAGTTTAAGCGCTTGTTCATTTACCGTGACCGCCGSTCCCGCCGACACCGCAGCCGCTCTCGCGCGGCGCCTCAGGCGGGCGGAGGGGGCGTGGCCTCRGGGCAAACCCCGCCCCGCGTGCGGCGTTCCGGAAGTGACGCGAGCACGCAGTGACCTTCAGAGGCGGCGGGCGGGTGTTGGGTCAGGCCCCGCCGCTTGGTGCTTCCTCCGTTTCCTTCGGCGCCGCTCGGTGCTTCCTTCGCTTTCCTGTGCGCCGCTCCGCTCCCCGCCGCCATGCCCAGGGGCAACCGCAGCCGCACGTCCCGCGTGGCACCCCCCGCCAGGTGAGGGCCGCCGTGGCCCCTTCCTTAATTCTCCTTCCTCCCGCCCCCGCGCAGGCCGCAGCCGCTTGGCCGCCATTGTGCGGGGGGGTGACGCACCGGGGTGGTGGCAGCGCCCGGCTGGTTTGAGCAGGGTGGCTCTTGAGTTAGTGGAGCGAGGTTGGGCGCTTTGGGAGGATGGAAGTGGGTCTGCTCGGCCGCAGGGCCTGGATAGCGGTGCCCTGTTTATTACCYGCTTCTGGGTTATATCTCATTTTTCTGCAAAATAACACAGCCTTATTGGGACTGGGGAATGACCAGGCTTTAAACAGGCAGAAAGGAGCCTGTAATCCTGACCCTGTCTTGCATAAGCCGCTCACCAGTACACCGAGTTCATCCCTGCAGAGTGCAACAGGGGTGTGTGTAATCCCAGCGTGATCTGTGCAGCGCCACGAGCTGCACTCGGCGGTCCCTGTGTGTCCCTTCCAGCGTGGAACATTCTGTGCCTCACAGGAGGARCGGTGGACTCCTGTCCTTGCAGCCACGTGCCCTCTTCCCGGCGTGATTTGGACTGATAACGATGATGATGAAGATGAAGTGAGGTTTCTCTTTATGTCCTTGCAGCCGGGCACCCCCGAGGAGAGCCGCGTCTCCATCACCGGCTCCTCGGGCCTCGGTCCCYGCAGCGGCTCCACCTTCTGCCGTGGCGGCCCCGGGGCAGAAGCAGCCGGGCCTGCTGGCTCAGATGGCCACAACTGCTGCCGGGGTGGCCGTGGGCTCGGCCGTGGGACACACYGTCGGCCACGCTATCACTGGAGGATTTAGTGGAGGGGGCAGCTCCGATGCTGCCAGGCCTGACGTCACTTACCAGGTGAGGGAAAGCACAACTGGACACCAACTGAGGGCACAGATCAGCTCTGTGTGTGCTGAGGGAGTTGCTAGAGCCTTAAACACCACATGAGGCACAGCTTGGCTACTTACAGTCTTTATATAGTCTACAGACAATGTGTATATATATATATATATATATATATATATATAAAACCATGTATAGTCTGTAGCTACTGACTGAATCTCCAAGGTAACTCAGACCGTGAGTCATCTTAAAAAGAGTTCAGAGGGATGCAAGTGATGTGTGCTTGTGGCACACAATGTTAGTGTTACTTTCTACTGTATTATTCCTCTGATTCAGGCAGGACTTCCATGTTCCAGGCCTCATGTTCCTAAACATGAGGAAGAGTGGGTGGTAAGACCTTTGCTCAGGTGCCATCCAGAGGTACCTGAGCATATCCAAAATAAAATCACCCAGTTAAGTAATCATCCAGTAAGTTTGTTCCTTAACTACTCTGAATGTGTCATTCCACTGCTGGGAAATGATTTTTTACTTCAGTCCTTTACTTGTTTTCTATTTAAAAACCAAAGATTTTGACTAAGATGCAGGGAAGGGCCCTCAGTAGGCGGCGTGATGGTGGTGTGGCTTTGTAGCTGAAGCTGTTAGAAGGGTCCTGATGGAGTAATCTGCTGTTTCAGGAGCCCCAGGGAGCTCAGGCTGCCCAGCAGCAGCAGCAGCAGTATGGTCCTTGCCAGAACGAGATTAAACAATTCCTGGAGTGTGCTCAGAACCAGACCGACCTCAAGCTGTGCGAGGGCTTCAGTGAGGTGCTGAAGCAGTGCAGGATTTCTAATGGTAAGTACACAGTTCTAACAGAGAACTGTTTAATGAGATAATCAGCAAAATTGTCATGGGAATGATATCCTGGGGTTTTGATCCATCTGGTGAAGGATGAGGAGTGATAAAGGTATGCTGAAATCTGGTAAAGCAGCTGCTGTTCTGTTGGGCTTCWTGGTTGGGTCCTGTGGGTGGAGAGAGGGTGAATTGCCGGTACTTTTGTGTTGGTGTATGGTTTGAAGATGACTGGGAAAGTGGCAGCAGCACATCTGGGGAATTAGCAGAGCTAAGGACAACAAAACCATCCTGTCCTGGGATGAAGGAAGTAGCTGTGCACCAGTACTCTGCTGATGTCTACAGCTCAGAATATGCCAGCAAAGATGAGGGAAGGGGGAACACCCTGACAGATTTCTTAAGGCAAGAAAAACCWCCTCCTATTCAAGGATCCAACACTTACTGAGATAACTCCTTCCCTTTCAGGTTTGGCCTAAGCCTCCACAGTGAGGCTGCTGAAGATCATCTTGCAAGAACTGACCTATGAATGAAAAAAAAAGCTTCAGTAATAAAGTTTCAAGCTGTCTGGTTTTTTGTTAGTTCATATATTCACACTCTCATCCCTGTGGCTTGTCTCCTGCCATAGCTGCCTCTGATGTGATACAACTTCACAGCCGCAATTTAATTTAGCACATGATGGAGGGATGAATAATAAAGCAGAATGAGTTAATTTGGGTTTAACTATTTTGCTGATTGTTGTGTTGAATGTATGTAACACAGTCTATAAATAAACTTCTCTSTATAGAAATGCCTTGCTTTAGCTGAGTGCTGGAGTTGAGCTTTTGAAGGGTGAGGAGGAGAGAATTCATTCTGGCAGGGTTGGTTCCATTTGCCAGGTGTGCTGCCAGCAAGGCTGGAGCTGCAGGAGTTCAGGAATGTTTGCAGCTCTGCCTGTGAGTTATCCCCTCACCGACCTTTTGAACCCCACAGGCATCCTCTGATGAAAATGGGACACARGTCTGTGTTGCTTGAATCTTGATCCCCCAAAAACCTCTGTCATAACTTCGAACTCTGTGTCCAGATTCCAGGGATTCTGAGCAATGATTTCTCTCTGCCACTGTGCAGGGCTGGCACTGCCACAGCTCTGTGCTTTTAAGATAACACAGTCCTGCATCGCACTCTGAGCCCGCAGAGGCTGAGGGTGTTTCTTTCCTCTGATAGGACTGAAACATGAGAGGATGGTCCTGTGGCCTTTCCCTCCTGCCTGGCTCAAGCAAGTGACAAATCCACTGCTGCCACATCAAAATKATCACTATTTTAAAAGTATTTACTGATGCAAAGTGCAAAACCTCCTTTTTCCATCGGAGGGAGCAGCCACATCATGCCTTGCTCAAATCCTTGGAGCTGATAAAGYAAACACCATGCTCAACACCAGGAAGTGTGGCGGAGAATAATCCTGGTCTGAAAAGTGTAATTCCTGTTAAAAATATTTTCCATACCATGACCTGTTTTCCCTGAAGTGCTGTTGTGCTGATGGGTGTTCTGCCTGTTCCTAAAGCACTTCACCTTTGATCTTGCAGTTCCTGGAAGTGAAAAGATTAAATCAATGCTCAAAATGGAGCAGAGTCACCTCAGGCACGGGGGATATTGACAACTACCTGTAGTGGAGACACGAGCAGCTTTGCCTCTGCCGATCRAGCTCCCATTGCATTTGTGAGGTGTTTCACCGTCAGGTTGAAACTGAAATTAAACCAGTGTGGGGTTTGGGCCAATCTGTGAGAGGACGAGAGGGCCTTTAGCTGACAGTGGAGATTCGGTTAGATATTAGCAAAAAACAAATCACTGGGTGTTCAGGCATTGCAATATGTTTCCCAGGGAAGTTGTGGAGTCACCATCCCTGRAGATATTCGAGAGGCGTCCGGACCTGGCGCTGGGTGATGACTGAGCCGCACCGTGGACACATTGCCAGCGCTGGGACCGGCTGTTCTTTAAGGTCTCTCCCAAATTTCCCAATTCCCYGATTCTCCTCTTCCAGCCCCTCCCGCAGCCCATCCCCGCCCCGGGGGCAGCACCACCCCGGGGAGGAGGGGCCGGGGCCGCGCCGGTGCTCGGCGGCGGAAGGGTTAAACCGGGGAAGTCCCGCAGCTCCGGGGCGGCCCCCGGCCCCCCCTTGCCCCTTGCCCGGCCATGCCCGCCCGGCGCCCGCCGCTGCCAACTCTCGCTGCGCTTTCTGCGGGGCCGGGCGGCGGCGGCCGGCCCTGAGCGCTCGGCTCCCGGCGGCGGCTCCCGGCTCCTGGGCCTGGGCCCRGCCCGGCGCTGCCCTCAGCGAGGTGAGGAGCCCTGAGGGGAGGGTGCGTGAGGTGGGGGGGTCCTGCCCCGGAAAACTCCCGAGCTCAGCGTTCTTTGTCTCCGGGTCAGCGGCGGGAACACCGCGGGGCTGAGGGAGAGGGGCCGCGTTCCCCTGCCGGCCTAAAAACTGGCTTGAGCTTGAGCTTTGCGGGTTTATTTGTTTTATTTAAGTATATCCTTCTTCCTGCTCAGAGTCCCTCCTGCTTGGCAGCTGCGGGCGGGCSCCTCTCCCTCAGGGCTCCTCAAGGCAGAAAATCCCCTCCCAACCCCCCGTGCCCCCCTTGCGCTCTGATAAAACCCCAGAGTATCCCGTTATTGCCCTGCACCGACCGCTTATATAATTCCAGGGTGTTTTAAACACACTCCCGGGCTCTCCYCTGCCGGGAGAAGGCAGCACGCAGATTCCAGGCTTCTCCCGGCGCTGCTCYGTAGATGCTCCCCAGCCTCCAGCCCTTCCCCACAGTACCAACCCTCAGCATTTGGATTTTCAGCTTCAAAGATAACCAAAGTTTTCGATTACCCCCCACCTCAGAGATTTTTTATTTTCCCTACTTCCTGATCCTGCCGCCTCTCGTTCGTGATTTCGGCTTGGTTTGGCATTACTCATAGTATTTCCAGCAGCTAATATTTTGTAAAATAAATCAAACTCATGATTTTTTAGAAATGCTCAAGCCCGAGTTTGACACGCCTGGCAGCAGCAGCCAAAACACCACATTGGTCCTTAAAACCAGGTCAGGTCAGATACACATTGCTAATGAGATTTAAATGTACTCAGATATGCCAGTGCCCTGGCAGAGTTACTGAGAYGAGGGCAAAGGAAAACCCACAGAACTGGGGACCTCCTGCCCACCTCTGTCCCCTCCCCACCATCAAACTGTCACCCCAAAGGGACAACTTTGCTGCCCAGCTTTGTAAGWGCTGCTTTCCACCCTGAGCGCTTGGACTCCGTGTATGGGCACAGAAACAAGCTGCATAAAAAAATCCCCCCAAGCCTGAAATAGGAAAAAGAAATGGGACAAGAGCCTTTGAGGAGCTGTGGAGGCTGCTGGCAGCTGCACAGGAGTGGCTGAGGGAGYTCTTTCAGCTGCTGTCCTTAGGCTGGCTCGGCTCCCGCTGTCCCCAGTCCCTCTGTCCCCATCTGCACCCTGACCCTCTTGCTGCTTCACTGACCCTCACCACCTCTTTTTCCTCCTTCTCAGTCCTTTTCCATTCCCTTTAAACACTGTTTCCCCCTCCTTATCCTCAGCCAGAGACAACTTTATCATCTTAAAAATAACAAGGAAAACAAAAAGGAAAAAAAAAACAAACCAGGGGCAGATTCCAGCACTTGGGGTGGTGATGGTGTGGGGTGGCGTTTCTGGAGGCTGCTGCTGTGAGCTGGGGGCAGGGAAGGGATGAGGTTTTGAGGCTCCCAGCCCCAGCCAAGGGGACAGCCAGGCTATGGGGTAATTCAGTGGGATTTCTCTTGTTTCCAGTGGGATCTCCACTGGAAACAGGAGYATCCCAAAGGCAAAGCTTGGCTTTTCCAAGCAGCAAAATACCCCCTTTACTTTTTGATTCAGGATCATCCTCGTTTTTCTCGCGATTTTCTGCTCCATAAAGAATCGAGAATCCCAGCCTTGGGGGCAGRGAGTGCCCATCCTCACTCTCTTTTTTCTTGCAGCCCCTTTCTGCCCTCAGAGTGCTGCCWGACAGGAGCCAGAGATGACCAAGGAAGAAGATCTTCCAGACTGGCACTCATCCAAGGAGTTTTAYGAAAAATATGAGCCGAAGGAGGTTTTGGGCAGGTAAAGCTTTTAGTTTTGGGTTTTTTTTTTGCCAAGCAGCTTGTTTTGGTTTCACGTCCTCCAGTGCCGAAGAGGAACAGCACTCCCTGGGAATCTGATACAAACAGGGCCCACAGGCAGCATGGGGCTAAAAATAGCATGGAACAGCACTTTCCATCAGCTCAAAACCTTCTGTCCCACCGAGACAGGGTGACAGAGCGAGACCCGCTGGTGCATGAAAATCCCAGCCAGCCCAGGTGCCGTGGCTGGACAGGCAGGGATGGAACCCCCCTTTTTTACCTCTTGTCCCTGGCAGGGGGGTGAGCAGCGTTGTCCGGCGATGCATCCACAAAAGCACGCGGCAGGAATACGCCGTGAAGATCATCGACATCACGGCGGGGAACATCTCCCCCAAGGAGGTGCAGGAGCTGCGCGAGGCCACCACAAAGGAGATCGACATCCTCCGCAAGGTCTCAGGCCACCCCAACGTCAGTAAGTCAGGCCTTGAGTACCCCAAGGGAGTTTTCTTCCCTGTTTTTTCCTCAAGGTGTCCACAGGAAGGGTTTTTGGGGTGATATCCCTGGATGAGGCAGGGCACCTGCACAGAKCACTGTTTGCTCTCCCTCCAAAYACAMYATGTTGCCTCCCAAGCACAACACTRGTGAAGATCAACTCATTAACTCAATTAGCAGTTCAATCAGCAACTTTAAGTCCATTGATGGACTGTGCTCACAGCSCCTGTGTTTTATTGCAGTCCAGCTGAAGGACAGCTATGAATCCAGCACCTTCTTCTTCTTGGTGTTTGACCTGTGAGTACCAGCTGGCTCAGCACCTTGGGCCCACTTCCTTTCTGCAGATTGATCCCAGCTTTTGATGGCCCAAAAACGGCAAAATGTGGGGACAACCAAGGTAGAATCAAGCCTTGATTACTGCAAGCTTTTGATGGCCCAAAAATAGCAAAATGGGGGACAACCAAGGTAGAATCAAGCCTTGATTACTGCAAGCTTTTGATGGCCCAAAAATGGCAAAATGTGGGGACAACCAAGGTAGAATCAAGCCTTGATTACTGCAAGCTCATTGCAGCCCTGCTGCCAGCACTGTTTCCCCTCCGTCAGCGGCTCAGCGCTGCTCGGGTTTCCCTGTAACCTTTGGTGGCAGCTCTCACGCATCCCTCAGGGTTATTTATATRCTCAGTGGGACCAGGGTGTCTGCAACACCACAATTCCCAATGCCAGGGCAGTGCAATGGATGTCAGAGGAGTGGGATGGCASTGGGAGAGCCCCATCTTTGATGGCTGGACTTGCTAATCCTAAAGGTCTTTTCTAACATTAACAATTCTATCTGAAACATGCCCTGTCCAGGCACAGCCTTTCCTCCTCCTGCCTGCTATTTTACTGAAATACAGAAAGGCATTTTTACCCCTTTTATGGAAGTTATTTTGTGCCCTGGGCTGTTAAAGAGCAGCAGCCCTTGGGTGATCCTCCATGGGGACTCAGGGTTGATTTGCTGTTGCATCTCAGCCTCTGCCTGACTCTTTTTTCCCTTCCCTCATGCAGGATGAAGAGAGGGGAGCTCTTTGACTACCTCACTGAGAAAGTCACCTTGAGCGAGAAAGAAACCAGGTAAGGGCAGATACAGAGGGGTAAAAATCAYCCTGCAAGAGCAGAGTGTGGGTTTGAGGGGTGGGCTTGYAGCCAGCACTGCACCCTGGGCTGTRCTCAGAGCTGAGGGCAGTCCCTGTCCCYATCCCTGGGATTGTGGATATTTGGRATTGAGCTGTCACACATCCCCAGGAAGATCATGCGAGCGCTGCTGGAAGTGATCCAGTACCTGCACTCCATCAACATCGTCCATCGGGACCTGAAGCCGGAGAACATCCTGCTGGACGATGACATGAACATCAAGCTGACGGATTTTGGCTTCTCYTGCCAACTGCACGAGAATGAGAAGCTCAAAGGTAGGGGGATGGCTCAGAGGAGGGGGTGAGGGTGATGCCACCCTCTTATGAGTCAGTTGAGTTTCTCCAGCCCCCTGTCACCTGTAGGTGCAAACTAGTGCTGGTTTGTGCTGTCCTGCTCACACACAATTTCTACCTGCACGTGGCCTTCACACCTCTCTTTGCCATCAATCASTTGCTGCCCATTAGGAAAATCCTAGCCATTCTACTTCTTTTTTCCTCCAGTTGATCCTCACTACTCTACCCATTTACAGCCCAGCATTATTGCCCCCAAATCCTACATGCAGAGCCACATACCCAACAACAAGCACCTCACAAACATCCATATTATTATCTTTGCTCACTTTTTAATTCACAAAAAAAGTCACCAGTGAGATGCACACAAGTTCCAATTCCTCCCCTTGAGCACCATCCCTGCAAATATCCCATCTTGGGCTTCCTGGGAGAGGGTGGGGATGGCACCTGGGTGKCTCAGGGGGATGCTCTGCCCTGTGTCCCTGTCCCCACAGAGATCTGTGGCACTCCTGGCTACCTGGCCCCCGAGATCCTGCAGTGCTCCATGGATGACGAGCACCAAGGCTACGGGAAGGAGGTTGATATGTGAGTGAGAAACTCTTCCCTAAACACACACACATGTGGTTTGAGGCACAGCCAGAGCTGTGCTGTTGGGGACCTGTTTGTTTGGAAGGAATTAAATGATGCTCCAAAAGCCATCATTGGGGCTGTGTGTGTCACCAGGGGGCTCTGGCACAGAGCAGTGGGGACAAGCCCATCTCTCCACTTTGCCTTATCAGGGAGAAGGGAAAGCAACACTTTCTGTTCCTAAAAGTGAACTTGGGTTCTAAACACACCTTGTGCAGCCCCTGAGAGAGCAGCCAGCTCAGGRCAGCCCAACAGAGCTCTGCAGGGACTTTGCCACTATCTCTGGTGGCTTCACGCTCATGTCTGCAGTGGTCAGAGCTGTGACCAACCACTCAAAACCCTCTGAGGCATTTTCAGTTTGAACACCACTGTGTAACTGCCATGCCAGGACACCTGGCAYTCCACAGCCCTAGGGCATCCAGCCTGGCTGCCATCACCTTGTCCCACCTGCAGCATCCCCTCCCTTCCCTAAAAAGCCCTGGAAAGGTCAAATACTCCATCCCATGGCATCTTCCTGCAGCATCCAGGGAGCAGYTCCCCATCAGCTCAGCTCAAACCCCTGCAGGGCAGTTCTCTCCAGCTTTTCCAAGGAGGCAAAGGCAGGTGTGGGCACCCCCGGGGTGCAGATCCAGCTGGGTGTCCCTGGGGTGTCCCAGGGGTGCTGCAGGGTCCATTTGGGCTGCCCACAGGTGGAGCACCGGGGTGATCATGTACACCCTGCTGGCCGGCTCGCCGCCCTTCTGGCACCGCAAGCAGATGCTGATGCTGCGCATGATCATGAACGGCGATTACCAGTTCAGCTCCCCGGAGTGGGACGACCGCTCCGACACCGTCAAGGACCTGGTAGGTGCTTGGGGTGGGAAAACTTGGAGCAGGGAGTGCTGCAGATCCCTGGGATCCCTGAACGATCCGGTGCCCTCACAGATCTCGCGGTTCCTGGTGGTGGACCCACGGCAGCGGTACACGGCGGGCGAGGCGCTGGCACACCCCTTCTTCCAGCAGTACGAYGTGGAGGAGGTCCGGCACTTCAGCCCCTTCCGGAAATTCAAGGTGGGGATGAGGCTGGGAGCTGCAGCAGCCAGCATTGGGATGGGTTTTCCAGCTGAGCTGGGAGATACTGGGAGTTGGGCAAGGCTGATGAGGCTGGGATTTGGGAGGATGTGGCAGCCGGGTAGAAACTCCTCTCCAACCAGACCCCTCCTGGTGTGTGCTCTGTGGTGCTTCCTAAGGRCATTTTCACAGAAGGGAGAAACTGCCTTTCACCTCCAAAGAAAGCATTAAAAGAGCTGGAGTGTCCAGCCTGGAGAAGGCTCCAGGGAGACCTCAGAGCTCCTTCCAGTCCCTGAAGAGGCTCCAAGAAAGCTGGAGAGAGRTTTTGGACAAGGGATGGAAAGCCAGGACAAGGCATTATGACAGAGGGCAGGGTTAGAGGCGATACTGGGAAGAAATTCTTCCAGTGAGGGTGGAGAGGCCCTGGAACAGGTTGCCCAGAGAAGCTGTGGCTGCCCTGTCTCTGGAAGTGTTCCAGGCCAGGCTGGACAGGGCTAGGAGCGCCCTGGGCCAGTGGAAAGTGTCCGTGCAGGGCTGGAGTGAGATGGACTTGAAGGTCCCTTGAACCCAAACCATTCTGGGATTCCCTGGCAGCCACACAGGGACTAAACGGTGCCAGGCACTGGGCTCCCTCCTGACTCCTCCACACACCCTGGTGCTGCTCCAGCCCCATTGTGTGAATTGCCCTGAGTCCCAGGCTGCTGCGGGAATTGCCCTGAATCCCAGGYTGCTGCAGGAATTGCCCTGAATCCCAGGCTGYTGTGGGAATTGCCCTGAGTCCCAGCCTGTTCCCCAGGTGATCTGCCTGACCGTCCTGGCCTCGGTGAGGATTTACTACCAGTACCGGCTGGCGAAGTCGGTGACCAGGGAGCTGGTGGTCAGGGACCCCTACGCCCTCAAGCCCGTCCGCAAGCTCATCGAYGCCTGTGCCTTCCGCACCTACCGCCACTGGGTGAAGAAAGGGGAGGCCCAGAACAGAGCTGCACTCTTTGAGAACACCTGCAAGGCCATCCTGCTCACCCTGGCAGCCGAGGAGGAGTTCTTCTGATCACCCCCGGCTTGGCTCACAGTAGGCGAGTAAAATCTTTGAAAACAAACCGGTGATTTCTGGGTTTTGACATTTTCTTTCGCTGGGCTCGGGTCAGGTGCAAACACAAACCCTGCAGGCAGCTGTGTGSTTGGAGAAGGCACCTTTTAACACAGCCAGAACCAGCCACAGCTCCCCATGGGGAAGGCTCAGCCCTCAGGCACCCCCAGTGGTTTTTTGGGATGGACACAGGGGGACAAGAGTGCCCTGAGCTGTGTCCCATGGGCTCAGGGCTCCTGCTCCCATCAGGTTTGGTGCAGAACTCGGACACAGAGAGTTTGTGCTGTTTGTAACCCCTGGGGCAGATGAGGCACTKGTTTGTGTCACCTGTCACCTCATTTTGGCACTGCTCCAAGGCCACTAAAGCTGCCCTGTTTTACTCCTGGGGAGCCTCAGCAGGTGACATGAAGCTGGGACTTCCCAAGGGAATGGGAGCTGGTAGTGAATCCCCCCTTCCAGGGATGTGCCCCATAGCTTCCCCTTGGGCAGCTGCCCCTCACCAGTAGTCACAGGGGGCTGTGGGTGTCCCCTCACAGCAGCYCAGTCCCACACGTGCACCCCTCTGCTCGCTTCACATGGACAMTAAGGAGAGCTGGGATATCTCCCACTCCAAAAGGACACTCGGACAAACCCCTGCCTRCCATTCCCAATTGTCTCCCACCCAGATGTTCCAGTGCTGAAAAGGCTGAAAATATTTATTATTAACTTTTAAAACAACAGGGGTTTAATGAAGTGACAGCTGGGGGTTCCTGTTCATCTCCACAGGAGAAAATGCCTCAGGTGTTCCCCGGTGACCCCTCAGAGCTCAGGTTTGGTCTGGCTTTTCCAGGATGTGACAGGCGGGACGTCGGCAGCGCAGCGGAAGCTGAGGTTGTCAGAGGCCGAGTCTGGTGTGTTCCCCATCCTCACAGGGCAAAAGAGACCCAAAATTAGGGATCCTTCCCAGTTAACATATCCCTAATACATTACAACCCTCACAATCCTAGCGTGACCTGCTAGAACAGCCTAGAAACACCTTCCATTTCCCCTGAGTAACTCTGAGAAAAGCATTTAATTATAAATACCTGCTGGAAAAACATGATTTGAGAAGCTATTAAGAATGGAATTATAGCAGGGAAGTTTTTAGCCGTATTTGTAGTGTGCTCTGCAGTTCCCTCTCAAAAAATCATGTAGGAACAAACAAACATCCCCAATAAAACTAACCCTGAGAAAATCCTTGTGAAGCAGCACCTGGGCTTTGGCCAGACCTACCTGGTGGTGACACGAGCTCTGTGGTTTGCAGAGCCATCGGCGGTGTCGATCCACGAGGCTCCTCTCAGCACCTGCATGTTCTGAGCCCTGGGTGCCCGTCGTGGAGCTGGGAATTCTGATGCTGTCCATTCCCAGGTGTTTCCCARCAGGTCATAGAGCCCTGGGATGGGTTTGTGTCAGAATTAGGAGAGGAGTTTGCAAGGGCTGCAAACTCAGTGCATGGGAGGGGCCACAATATTCAAAGCATCATTCGAGAGTGCGGTTTAATTGTGAGGCTGAAGAAATTCCTCACTGTATTTCAAACTTTAATGTGTCTCTGCATTTCCCATGTGCATGAGGGCATGGCAGCCAAACAATGTACTTAGAATTTTTGTTACATCACATCAAATTGAAAAATAACTCAATTAAATTTTAATTAAAAGGAGGTGCATCTCAGCCAACTCCAGTACCAACCATTGATGCTTTTCCTGGGCTCACTTATCCCACCCAGATGCTGACATGATCTGACATCTGAAACTATCCCAGCTGCAGGATTTGCTAATTAATGTTAATTTAGGAGGCAGATGCCACCCCAGAGTGGGCTGGGGGTGCTCTGTACCGTAGCTGTTCTGAGGAGGGAAGGCTGTCACCGGGGAGACACCATGGTATCCGTCCTCAGCCGTGTCCTCCCGAGGGAAGTCACCCTGGGGGAACAAAATTCACTCAGAGCAAAGAACCATCCCAAAAACACCAACTTCTGCTCTTCACTGGGCTGTGCTACAATTTAATTAGGCAAATAACTCTGGTGTAAATTTATACTGCTCAAAAGTGATCAACCAGCTGAAGTTGTCCCTTTTCAAACAGATTTATGCACAAATTTTTAGAAGCAGTAAAATYCTGCTTTCCCAGGGAAGATGATCTGAGCCCAGCATGGGTAGGATGATTTTTAGGACCTTACCTGCCACAGGTTTGTCCGGTTTGGCTGGAAYTTGTTTCCCCAGGGATACATCCTTTCTGCCAAGAAGGAAAAGACACCTGTTAGCCCTGGGTCACTCCAATTTGTAACCAGGATTTGATGATTGTCCTTTTTTCTGCTCAGCTTGGGGTTTTATTAATGCATTTTATTAATTATTAATATTATKWCACTTTAAAGCCAAAAGAGGTGGTTCAAACCCCCACAGATGAACCCCTGAAAACATTGCTGGAATGAGGTTTGGATCTGGTGGAACTAACTCCACCCCATGCCTGGTTTGGGAAAAGCTCAGAGTTTGTGGTACATACGCTCCAGTCCTCCYCTGGCAGCAAATTCCCACTCCTCCTCTGTCGGGAGCCTCTTCCCTTTCCAGGCACAGAAGGCCTGAGCATCATTCCAGCTCACGTGCAGCACTGGGTAATCCAGCCTGTCCTTTATGCTGGAGCCAGGGCCAGAGGGCTGGGGAGAATTGAAACAGATTTTAATTAATTCGTAACGTTTTCATTAAAAAGGGAATAAGGGCTGGAAGAGATGAACGGATAATGCTTTCCCCCCATTTTTGGTCAATAAAGTTCAGCACACACAACGCACACGAGCTCAGAGTGGGGAGAAGTCACCACATCAGGATTTTACACACCAGGGTTTTACCACACCAGGATTTTACTCACCTGTCTCCAAAAAGCCTTCTCGATGGGCAGCCACCACGGGGCCGACTGGGGAAGGAAATGACACCAGATTAAAGGTGAACTGGTGACAGYTGGATGGTGACAGTGGGCTGTGTTAGACTTGGAAAGGCTCAGTGCTGCAGTTGGAGCTGGGTTAGCACTTGGATGGTGCTTTCCCACAGAGCAGAGGCTTTGCTTTTAAAAGTTAAAACAGATCAAGAGGTTCATGCTGTTCAGTTTTTCTATTTAAAATCTGATTATTAAAGCACTTTGAAACACATTTGGCTTCCTCCCAGCTCCCCGGAGTCCAGACTGACAGTGCTCACAGAGTGGAAACAGAGGAGCACATGAATCAACCCCAGCTCAAACCTGCTGAGGTTCAAAAGAAAAACCACCCCAGACTAAAGAAAAACCTCTGAGAACAGCCAGGCYCTGCAAAGAGGCAGCTGCTCCTCCGTGGAAAGGCAACACCACCATCAGTGAAACTCATCAGTGAAACTCATTGTGTGGGATTCAGATTTACCTCCAGTTTTTGGGTGACTTTTTTTTTCAGCTCTTCAGATACGAAATCCTCAAATACAAAGCTCCAGCCAAATGCTTCTGCTTCTGTTTTGTACTTCTTTTCTTTAACAAACTCCCTGGYGTAAACACAACATGCTCTGGGTAAGAGTTCTTCAAGCTCTGCCCCACAAATCTGCGTGTGCAACAAGGTCAGAGCAAGGCAAAAAGCACAAAACCTACAGACCCCCCCCAGCTCCAGCTGGTTTGATTTAGATAACAGATAAAATAGTCCAGTGAGYATCTTTTCACAGATTTGATACTTGTTATGTAGGTAAACTCAGCCTGGAGTCAGCTTTCCATAACTGTAGAGATAAAAAATCCCTTAAAAGCCAATAAAACCTGCGGCTGCTGTTAGTGGAAGAGAAGGGGAGGAAGAGAAGTGGAAGAAGGGAAGGAAGGAATAGGGAGAGGAGAAAGAATGGAGAAGAAAAAGAGAGGGAGGAGAAAAAGGAGAAGGAGGAGGAAAAGAGAAGGAGCTGAAAGAGAAGCTGAAAAAAACGGGGAAAGAAAGAGGGGAAAAAATATAAAAAAGGAAATAAAAGGAAGGATGCTTGCAAGCTACACTSCAAAATAGTTCAGCTTACACCTACAAGGGGTGATTTACCATTGAGAGACACATTTTTTTTTGCATTGGCTTTCAGACACCAGGAATCAGCCCCAGAACACCGAGGAACCTACACGTGCTCCTGCCCCCTCCCCACAGCCACCTGAGGCAGCCAGGGCTCACCTGAAATCCCTGTTTGTGACCGGGTGTTTGTCGAGAGCAAAGGGCTTCACTGTCACCTCCCTGGCGGGCCCCTCCTCGCTGCTCCTCTCCAGGGAGCTGGATCCCATCTGGAASGTCCCTCCGGGCAGCTGCACCATGCCCCCATCCTCTCCGAACGCTAAAAACGGAGAGATTCGATATAAATTTAATTCTGAAACATGAGCGAGGCGAATTTACTGTCGGGATGCCCCTGCGTGTGCTGTAGGGGATAACAGCGATTGGTCAAAGCATTTTAAATCCCATTTTCGGGAAAGGGAGCGGCTCCTCTGGGGAGGAATAAATAGGATGCTCCTTGGAAGAGGGTGTGGAGGGAATTTTGGGGGATACCGGTGGGATTTGTGGGATGGCCGGGGGGATTTTGGGGGTGCCGCGGCTCTCACCGCGCTGTGCCCCCAGCACCCCGCAGCACAGCACCAACAGCCCCGCTGCCGCTGCCATCGCGGAGCCGCCGCAGGAACCGCGGGGCCCCGACCCGGAGCTGCTGCGGGCTCGGGAAGCGCTTCCGGGGCTGCCCCGCGCCGAGCAYGGCGGCGGCTCAGGGACATCCGTTCTGTAGGAAAGGGGCGTTTCTGTCACAGCAGCTGCGTAGGGGGGGTAAAACTGCCTGGCACCGGGGCCACCCGCAATCCTCCCGCACTAAGGGGGCTTTTTATAGTGTTTGAGCAGGTTTTCTTAAGGTTTCGTTYATACTCAGTGCGAGGAACTTCACACAAAGCACCGCTGGAAGTGGGGAAAATCATTTCAGAGTGCAGGAGCCCGTTCTCCCACAAACCCACAGCTCTCTCTAGACCTGCTCTACCACTCACTGTCCATAAACACTTWAACCCAGTGTTAAAAACCCACCCCTTAAGACAAGGATTCCAACTTTGAAYAGGTCCTTCATCCAAATTTAAGCCCTTCTGCAGTCAGCAAACTCAAGTTTTATTCACAAGCAAGTACAAAACCGTTAAATGACTGACTTAATCCAGCTTTTATTGACTGAACAAATTCCACAACTGATCCCACCCTGTTCCCCCAGCACACTCTGGAGCAGTTGTTTCACAAAATTCCCAAGAGTGGGACTGAGGAATGCAGCCCCTTCCCTGCAGAATGTTCAGGATGGGGTGAAGGTTAAAGAACAGCCAGCCAAAGCACAGAACAGAACAGTTTATTGGGTAAAAATGGAAAGCAACTCCAGCCGTACAGTTCAGTGAAATCAAAAATAAATAACTCCTTTTTAGAGCCAAATCTTTGATTAAGTTGCTAAGATTTTGAGTGGCCRTGTTTACCAAAGGGGCTACCCCTCCCAGCAGAATGACTTCTGGCGCTGGGAGCTCCACCACAGCCAAGGACGGGGCCCTGCGGTGGATTCCTTGGAGAAATTCCATGCCAAGAGCAGCTSCAGCTCAGCCCTTCAGAGAGGACATTCCAGCTCGCATGATTTCATCCACCAAGAGAATATTGCTGGCAATCACCGTGCTAGAAATGAGAAATAAGTAGTGTTACAATTAACAAACTCAGCTTAATTTTTGTGCTTGGAGACATCTTCCTGTGCCTGGGATGCCCCAGTTTTACCTCATGAGAACAGARTGCTGTTTCAAGTGAAATCCTGTCACCCTTACCATGAATGAAGCAGCTGCTTTTTGACATTGTAATTATCCCAGATCCCAGCTGCTGCAGCCACCATTGGCTCCCCTGCAACACAAGTGAAACAGCCTTTAAATAACCAGGAGCTCACACAGAGAACTTTCTGCTGCCATCTGATATCCCKCACTGTAGTCTTCCCATGTGCTTTATCCTCTAAAAACCTCAAACCAGAATGCACTGAAGTACAACTGAAGCCAGGACACCTGCCAAGGCTTTTTTGCAGCTTTTTATCAATAAAGGCAGAACCTTTCTGCATTCAGAGCAACTTTGTTCTTCACAGAGCCGAGCCAGGTTCTAACTGGAGCATCACCCTGTGGCTGAGGGAGTCCTTACCAGTGTTGAGATCAACCCCGGTGAGCTGCCCCGACTCCACATGCTCTGCCTGGACCTTCACCAGCGTCTCCTGGGGATCGTAGCCTGAGTTCTGCGCGAGCACCTGCCGCAGAACAGAGATTGCTTCATATTGGTAATTCCAGTGCCCTCCAGCAGAAAAAGCAATTAGTCTGTGTGTGCTTTAAAGCCACTTTAGCACCCAGAAGCTCCTCATACCTTAGGAATGATGAGCAAAGCATCGGCAAAAGCCTGAACTCCGAGCTGGGCTCTTCCCTTCACGCTGGRTTTGTGTTTCACAAGAGCATTGGCTACTGCCACCTCCAGTGCCCCTGCTCCTGGCACCACACATCCTGCAAGGGAAACCTCTACAGTCAGCACCTATTTCAATTTAACAGCTCATTTTTAGGGCAGTTTGATCTCTTCCTTCCATATCTTGTACCTGAACAGGTGAGTACTTGTACAGCTATCAGCTCCTTGCAAATACAAGGTGGCAGAACTAGAAAAACACCTCACACTTAGCTTGGGTTTGGATTGGAGTAGGTACCCTAGAAACTGACTGTAATTCCCTAATTTTGGGATGAGTTTCTACAGGTCCTTAAYATGATGAACAGGAATGGAACTCACCATCCTCAATAGCATTTTTCACAGCCCGCAGCCCATCCCTGACTGCGTCCTTGATCTGGGTGAGYGTGTGCTTGTTGGGGCCCCTGATGAGCAGGGTCACGGAGCGAGGGTTCTCACACTTCTCAATGAAGGTGTATTTCTCCTCTCCCTGTGGAAAACAAGGTTATGTTTGCTTCTCAGACACTTGCTTCATCAATATGTWCAAAAATAAATAAACTGGATGGTTTCAGGCTCAGCTCTGCACTGACAGCACTTATGAGAAGCAGCAGGACTTGCAGGACTTTATTTCCATGAGGTTTTAATTCAGTACTCTTCAAATTCCTTCTCTTCAAAGACCTGCTCATACTCACCAGGGTGTACTCGTAGACAAGGCCTGCGTGCCCCAGGCAGTCAGGAGTGAGATCCTCCACGGAGTTCATGGCAGTGCCACCRCAGGCCAGGGTCAGTCTGCCAGAGAACATGGACAGCTCAGCTTTATATTCAATAAAACCCAAAGTCATTGACAAGAAGTGCAGGATTTCAGCATGTAGATACTAGGTCTGGAACAGCTTGTTTCTGTTCGTGGAAGAGCTCTTTAAGAATCAAACTTGTAGAATTAAGTCTCCTCTGAAGCATCCTGAGAGCTCACACTGCCCTTTCTGCAGCCTGTACAGACTGCTCAGGGTGACACCAGAAGAACTGGACAGATTGAAATAGGATTTTTAGTCAAGTCCATATAGGTGGATTTAAACCAGACTTGACTCCCTGTCTGTTTGGAAGAGCAGGTTGGACCCTCTCCCCTCCCAAAAGCTCACCTTTCCATGTTCCTCCTTTTAGCTCTCCTCAAAGCAACTATTCCCTCTTTGGCAAGTGCATCCAAGGAATACGGGTCAATTCCCTGGAAATGAAGRAAGTGACCATMAGGATAAAGACAAAGCTAAAACCACTTTCTCTCTGTCTGACACTAAGTTCTTCCTCAAGGCTCAAAGAACATCTCAAGTAGGAAATGTACATTAAATTCAGAAGTACCAGCCTAAATTTAGCTAATTCTGTCTCCATAAGTGTACCAGCTGAGTCACACAGCACATGGCTTCCCAAGGAAGCCAGAATTCCAAATTAATTTTTAGTCAGACCCTTCATCTCACCTTCTGGTTGATCACAACAAATCCTTTGTCGGAGTCGCCACAGGCTTTTTTTTTCAACTCTATGATTTTGTTGACTCTGTCTTCAATGAACTTTCTTTCTGCTTTCACCAACTTCTCYCTCTCTTCAGCACTTTTATAGAAGAATCCAGAGCTCACCTCTCTGAAGGGGAAAAAAAMMCCACAAAAAAGCAGTGAGAAAACTTCCTTTCTGCTGCAGAAATAAACTTCAGCAWAAASAATGAGCCTTTCAGTCACATTCTAYAGAAATCAACCCTAAACAATTTCCCCCAATCCACACTGCTGTTTCACTCTAGTTCAGAGCTTTTCCACTTCAAAAATTAAGGTACACTTGAAACAGAGAGAACCCTAAAGTGTATTTATGTGTTTGTTCTAGATACCAAATTATTCCCAAGAAAGGAAGGACTTTCAGCCTTTCTGTGATCACACAACAAAATAAAAGCCACTGTGAAGCTCTGTCTCTCACTGACATTTTTTCACCCACCACCTTTCCCAAAAGGCCTGCAGAAGGGGCATCATCTTTTACCTTAACAGTCCTTCTGGTTGGTATTCAACCACATCTTAAATAAAAGTCCTTATGACAYGGGCATTTGCTGTGTACTCACGTTTTCTCATACTCCAGAGACACATTGCAGGTAAGGATAAAAGCATCTTCCACTCTTTTCTTCATGTCAGGGTGGCGAGCTCCGTGATCCAGAACCAGCCCCCTGATCAGCCTGCAAGATTAAAAACCATTTCTGTGTCAACGTACACAAATATGTGATTTCATGGAGTGCAGGCTGGTCAGAGAATACAACTGGTCCAGCCCAAACTGGCTGGGCACTTGTGTTGGGAGCAAACAAGGATTGTGTATTCCCCTTCCAAGGGCATGCCCATTCCCATAAAGAAGCACACCAGGCACAGTGAAAAAGGAATTTGCTCTGGCATGGTGTCTGACTGCATTAGCTACTGAGGAAAGCTAGTGCAGAATTCATCCATGCACACAGGGGAATAGAAAGCCTATGGAATCCAGTTTCCATTTATTAAGTGTTATTTTACATTTAACAGATGCTGACCTAAAGCATAATCAAGCCACAAACATTATTATTAAGAAAAAAGAGTATTTATCCAACGCTGTTTTTCAAAAGCTTAAGCCAGTGTTACTCTTTGCTATTCAATAATTTTTTCAGGGAATCTAGTTCTGTGACTGAGAAACTTCTGCCAAGAGATTTCTGGCTAAAATCTGTGTTTCTGCCTTTCTTTCAGCCCCTCCCCAGCAGCTTGTCCAGTGGCAGCTTTAGGTTTTAGAAACCAGAACTCCCCAGGCTACTCCAGCCTCAGGGCCCCATTCAACTGAAGCTCAACGATCCTCCTGACTTACGTAGTGTCTGTCTCTGATTTGTGTTTCATCTCCATGATTTCCACCATGTACAGGTCAATGGGCTCTCCTGGTTTTCTGACTGTCAGGACAGAATCTACCACAGCCTGGAACAGAGGGGAGGGCAAATGTCCCAAAGTAGCATTAATTTTCTAACGTGCAAGTTCACATCTTTCTCTCCATTCACTTAAGTGATTACTCCAGCACTTTAAAAGCTGRATATCCTCACACAAACAGGGACACTCACCTCTGTCAGGATGTCAGCAAGCTCAGCGTGGACTTTAGTTCGGAGGGATGTCCTGGCAACATCTATGAGGGTCTCCCTGTCCATCTCCTTGGATACTTTGACCTGCTCCAAAACCTCAAGTGCTTTCTCCTTGGCAATCTCAAATCCTTCTGCTACTATTCKAGGGTGCAAACCCTAAGGCAAGGGAAGAGAAATCATTGGACAATGGAAGACAAAATGATCCTTTTGCCACAAACAGAACCCATGATTTCAACATTCCATGTAATGTCAAAACATTGAGAATATGCTACAAGGTGTTCTGTCCTTCTGAATACATGTAAAAGGAATGCAAATCCTTCCAATGCAGAGGAAAAGAACAGATTAATTTAGCACAGAACTCAAACCAAGGGAACTACAAAGCACACTTGGGTGTTCACTGTGCAGCATCAGTGTCTTGTTCTGAAGTCGCAACACCCCAAATACCTGCCCTTAGGGAGGAGCTCCTTTTTCACATACAAGAAGTGTTTTGACTCACACAAAACAAAGTAACASCAGGTATCACACAAAACCTGMAAAGCTACAGTATCCACATTAAATGGGTTTGATTTTCAACAAGTTACAAGTGCTCCTCTCCAGCTTTTTCCCCTTTTTACAACTTCCCTGATACACTAATTTAAAGTGAAAAAATACATTTTTATTTAACTTGTGAAACAAAAAAAAGCTSAAGGGTCTCAGTGAAGCTTCCAACTTAGCCACATACAAAAAAATACACTGCATACATACCTCAGAAATATAAAGATCTGCCTGCTTTAGGAGTTCTCCAATGATCAGGACRTTTGAGGTGGTGCCATCTCCAGTGATGTCATCCTGTGCTGTTGCTACTTTTGCTATCAAGGAGGCCGTGGGGTGTTGGATTTGCTAGACAAAAATAAGAAGCTGAGGAGTTAAATTTCAAAATTTAAATTTTGCAGTGGTAGAGCAAAAAAGAAATCTGGGACCAGCTAAGAAAGTATTGAAGGTGATGTTTTAATGGTTTATGGCAATTCAACAGGTTTGAACAAATAACAAATATTGTGACAATAAGGGGATTGAATTAATCCATATAACACTGTTTCCCCCTCAGATATGCAGTTGAGTTCTGAAAGCCAAACTAGTCTTTAGCTGTATGAGCTTCACAGGGAATGGATGCACCATTCAACAAACAGGCTGGCACTAAATCCATTGTGTTTAGAGTTAACTCATTTAAACCTGAACGATCAGTACCCTAGCTGGCTTGCTACTCCTTTGGCTTATTTTACYTCTTATGGAGCCGTTTATATTTTTACATTATTTTCTTTACAGTACTGCTTTAAACTGCACTTACTTCTTTATCCGCCTCMCAAGGGACATTTTGCTTTCGATGGATTAGGGTGGGGCAGTGGGAGACGAGATCCCCCCTCACCCAAAGGCGTTCGTCCCTCCCTGAATTCCCCCTGCGAGGATCAGCCCCAGCTCACCATTTCCTGCAGGAGCACGTTGCCATCTTTGGTCAGCTTGATGTCTCCGGCCCCCGACACGAGCCTGCGGACGGCACCGGGCGGGTGAGCAGCGCTCCGGCCCCAAAACACGTGTGGGGCCGCGGGCCCGCACCGCTCCCTCCCCTTCCATTCATCCACCCATCCCCGGCCCCAAAACACGTGCGCGCCCGCAGGCCCGCGCCACTCCCTCCCCATCCCTCCATCGCTCATCCTCTCACCTTCCCGCCCCCGCCTTTGTTCCCCTTCGCATCTCCCGATCCCCCGGCCGCCTCCCCTCACGCCTCCCCTCAGGCCGTGCTCCCCCCCAACCCCACCCGCGGCGAGAGGCGCGGGAGCTCCCTCACATCTTCATGGTGCCCTTGGGCCCCAGGTTGGTCCTGAGCACGTCCTGCAGCCCGCGGGCCGCGCTGATGTTGACGGCCAGCGCGGCCTGGGCACGGGCCACCTCAGCCTTGGGGTTGAGCGCCTTCACCGCCATGACTGCGCTCCGCTCTGCGCCGCGCCGGGCGGGGGCACCTCGGCCCCGCCTCCCGCCCGCCCCTTCTAGAACTCTCCGGACGTTCCCATTGGTCCGCTGGCGACATGCTGCATTTTTATTGGCTACAATGCCTATCGATCATTCCGAGTGCTCCCGCCGCTGAAGAGCGCCGGCGCTCATTGGCTCGCTGAATCCCCAGCCGCATTCCTATTGGCTGTAGCGCCTGTCGCTCCGCCTGGTCCCGCCCCCCGCTAGCCGCTGAGGCCCCGCCCCCAGAGCRGCCCGTGAGGGGAGCGCGGACGGGCGGGGTCGGTGTGGAGCTCTCTGAACGGGCAGAGGTGGTCGGTGTTTAACCCACTATCTCATATCACGGACACCCCCAGCAGCCTCGCAGAACTGTGAGAATAAATAATTAAACCCGGTGATTTCATGGTAGACCGATAGAATTAATAGTTAAGTGGATTGGATTAATAATCAGTGTTTCTTGGTTAAAATTCGGGGTTGAGGTTAATCAGAATTCRTCTTCTTACAACATACAAGCTGATGTGTGGGGCGCCGGGGCCTCTACAGCCCGCAGTGCACCCCTTGTACTCGGCTTTCCTGGACTGAGCCCTTCCCAGGGGTTCTAAGCATGGGGATGATCCCTCCTAAGGCCGTGCAGAGGTTTCCCTGTGGAATAAACCCGGAAATATTGTTGTCAAGGCAACCTTGATGGGTGCAGAGATGCTTGCCCTACATGGCCTGTCAGCTCTCACACTTGAGACACTGAAATATTTGTGTCTTTGGGTTCTCAAAGAGRGGACAGGAGATATACCCTGGAGAGGATCTTGAGAAAGTTCCTGCTGTGGTCCCTCATCCCTGTGGGCACAGATTGCACCAAGTTTGGATCCCACATTGCCCCGTCTGGGCTTGTCCCCTGAACACCTGTCAGAGCACATGGCAACACCAGGTGTGACACAACCCTCCTGTTATTTCAGTTATTGCATGAGGAAGGTGCCCAACCCCAGAATAATCCCCAGGCAGTTCCCAATGTTCTGCAGCCCAGCTGCTCCAGAGGGTGCTGACCACATCAAACAGGGACAACTGGTCCTGGAGCCAGGATTTTGTCAGTATTTGGTGCAGAGGAGACAGAGACTTTTCCCCAGCGCTCACCCACCAAGCAGCTGTGGTTGCTCCATCCCTGGCAGTGTCCAAAGCCACGTTGGACAGGGCTTAGAGCAACCTGGGATAGTGGAAGGTGTCCCTGCCCATGGCATGGGGCTGAAACAAGATTATCTTTAAGTTCCCTTCCAACCCAAACCTGTGAATTCTATGAAATCTCTCCCTCTCCATCCCACTTTTTTTTTTTTGCAGCAGGGAGCTCTGGATGCAGCCCTGGATTGCTTGAGCTGAGCATGTTTCCACACCACCTCCAGGAGAAAAGTCTGAGCCTGCTATTTTGTTGCACAGAATTTTGGGGGAGCTTGATAGGGAAAGTCAGTGTCAAGTGTCAGGGCAGCCTGGCTGGGTTTGGCTGCAGGCTGTGGCACCTGCTTTGGGTGAGGATCTCAGGTTTCCAGGCAAAATGCCACGCTGTGCAGGAGAGGAGAACTCCCACATGTGGCCTGTCTGTCTCCCTGGTAGGGACAGCTCTGATATCCTTGGGATTTTGGTTTWTAAATATATTAGATGGTGTTTGGATATCCTACAGCACAAGTTTGGACCTCTTTTGTTTAGCTGAGTGGTGTCTTGTGAAATATTTTAATGCTGCCTCCAGTGGAGTGGCTGGGCTTTCTCCTCTGTTATTGCAATCATTAAGAATAAACATTAAACATTGCAAAACGCAGGGAGCCACACTTGGCCTTTCATTATTGGCTCTGGAACTCGGTTAAAATCTCATCTCTGCTTTGTTGGGATGCTGAAACCACAATAAAACAAAACAAACCACCCAGCCTGGCCCCGGGGCCGTAGTACAAATATCTGAGATGCAATGTCCAGTCAAAACACCTGGATCTGCCCTGRATTCTGTAACTCCCAGGTCACACACAAATATTTTGTTGTTCTTGCTTCTCTGATTTGTCCTTTTTTTTGCCTGTTCTCAGCAGAGGGCAGCCTTGTCAAGCCCATACGAGCAAGCTTATTATATTTTATGTTTTCCTTGCTGGTGCCTATGGAAAGGCAGGAATTACCCATCCTAAAACACCTGTGCTGTGTGGGGCTGGCAGTGATGTGGTTCAGATTCAGGTTTGTGAGGGCAATTATTACTGCAGGAAAATACAGGGAAAATTCAGTTTGAATTTTTTTTTTTATAGGAGGGAAACAAACAAAAAAGGAAAAGCTGTTTTCAAAGACATCCTAGTCCTGCATGCAGGTGGTCTCTGCTTTTTTTTTTTTTTTTTTTGACAAATGGCGAGGTTCTATAATGATACAAAAGTTGGGTGCTGTGTTTGTATCATTTCATTCCTTAACTTGTTCATATAGCTCCCAGGCAGAGCTCTCTGCATTCCTTTGCTGGCTCACATTCCTCAGGGTGGTTATTTTGTGTTATAGCAACATTTCTCACGAGCGTCTTCACATTAAATTCCCATTTTGCAGCATTTTTCAGCCTTCAGGATGAGCTTTTCTTCCTTTTTCAGTCTTAGCAGTGGAAATTTTCCGTGTATTTGTTTTTTATGTGTAATAAAAATACAGGGCAAATGCTTACCAGACTAAATTACCCTATGAATTCAACGGATTACACCAGGTTAGAATCAAAATATTTAACTAATTTAAAGCCAACATGTCCATTAAACGAAGCCAAATAAAGGYAATATCCTTCATGAAATATTCAGCAGCAATTCTCTCAGTCAAGCCAGGCACTGCTTATCTTGGCAAAAACCCCTCTGAGATTCTCAGTAAAAGCCATTTTCTTTGATCTTTATCAAGACGGGTTTTCCTTTAACCTTATTCACAGAAATGATTTCTAAATCTGCTTTAAACAACATCCTGTCCTGCCACGATAAAGCTGACAAACAGCACTGGGCTGCTGATCCACAGCACCAGCTTGGCAGCAGAGGGGCTTGGTCCCATCTTAYCCTGACTCAAGATGTTACTGASAGATGATGTTGTAAACAAATGGTCRTGTCCTGAGAAATTCTGAAAAAAAACCCCTAAGGGAGTGGCACGAAAAGTGATCAGTTTTAATTAATAAATGGACTTTTGAGGGGATGGCAAAAGAGGTCATGCACAGAGGGTGACTGGAGCATCCAGCGGTGCAGAACCAGTCACAGGACTCCTGTCACAAGTGAKCAAAAGCAGCTAAATCAGCTAAATCAGACTTTCTTGACCTTRAACCAAACAATTTCTGGGCTGGCACTGTCCCATTTTCTAACYCCAGCAGGGTGCGAGGGGAGCTCTGCCGTGGGATGCCAAAACACAAGCACGGGCAGGTTTGGCAATTTTTCCATAGCTTTTAACACTGCATTTGGGGAGACAACACAGAGCCTTTCCCCATACCGTTCTCCCTTTGTTTCAGAGCTTTTGCCGARTTTGGATGTGATTTGTGTGTGTAACTTTGCTCAGGGATGCACCAACAGCTGATACTGAAATCTTAGAAATTCTGTCTTTTCTCCCGAAAACAGCATCCCTGCCTGGCCTCTGATTTCTGACAGGAGCAACTCGCGGCTGCTGCTTCTGGGAGCCTTCTCCGGGCTCGCCCCCCGAGCTCTCGGTGCCCACGGAGGGCTGAGCGAGYTCTCGGTGCCCACGGAGGGCWGAGCGAGTTCCCGGTGCCCGCAGCTCCCCGCGCCTCGCCCGCGGCTCCTCCCCTGCCGTGGGGCGGTCACAGCTCCCCTGCCTGCCCTGGCAGCGAACTGCTCCTCTTCCATGTGTGCAAGCACCTCAAACAAACCCCCCGCGCTGCCTTACTCAGCACTTTTATCAGGGGCTGAGCGGCAAAATGCGGCTCCGCTCCAGCGCAGCCCGTGCGTGGGGTTTGTGTGACTGAAGCTGATCCCTCCCTGCCCGGCGCAGCCAAGAGGTTCCCAGCGGCGGCAGCAGCCACAGTTCAGTCCTGTAAGTCACTGACATCGCGCTTTGCTTTTCTCGCAGGTCGGAAGGGGTTGGCGTTTGCCTTGCAGATCCGTAACACCGTGGGGTTTCTTTTTTTTTTTTTTTTTTAAATTCCCAGCACGGAAAATGAGGAGGATCTTGTGCCTGTGCTGCCCTGGTGGCTGTTTTATAACAGCGGCGTGAATGAATGATGCAATCGGGCACGGGGGGAGCGCCAGCATTTTGGCAGGACAGGCGAGAGGGGATTGGAGAGTTGGGAGGTAGATGTCAACATCCAACAGGTTCCTTCTGTCCCTTTTCAGCTGCTTTTCACAAGGTGCTGAAMTGAGTTCACTGTGAGGCACTGCTGTGCAAATAATGGAGCTGCAAACAGTTCATCTCTTGACTTGCAGCTTTGTGCCGCTGCCTTTACAAACTGAGCGGGAGGTTTAACAAAAACCTTAAAAAAAAAGGAAAATCCAAGAGGTCAAAGAAAAACCTAAATAAAAAAAAAAGAAGAAAACCCAGGAGATTAAGGACTGAATCTTCCTATTCTCACCCTGCAAGCCACAGAAACTCAGTTATGGCTGGATGGGTTGAACTTCTAAAACTTAYATTAAACTCTCACACAATTTGCTTAAATATTACTAATCTGCTTAAATGTATCAGCTTTCCTCTRAAGCTTTCAAAACATTGCTAATTCTGAGGATGAAAGCTCAGCACAGAAAAGCTGTGTCACTGTTTTATCCCATTTTACAGACACAGGGCTAGAAACAATGAGAATTAAGTGATTTGTTTAAACTCCTACCATGGAAATACTCCTGGGAATGTCCTTAAAAGCAGGACCACTCCTGGAGTAGGAAAAGGTCCTGAAAAAGGTTTCAAGAACTATTTTCTCAAATCTGAGCAGCAGTTTCCCTTCAGTGAGAGACTTWAAAGTGGTTGAACTTCTGTTAATGTCACTGATTGTTCAATACATTAAACGGGGAAGTGAATCGGAAATTGTTTGCAAACAAAGATATTCCTGAGTGCTGGGTAATATTTCATTAAGATTCACTTAATCATCATTTTTAACAGCAATTAAGTGTGAACATAACGCAAAGGAGCAGCGTGGCAGCACTTCTGAAAGCTGCAATGTGCCAACAAGGGAGGTGTAGTCACAATGAGGGGTTTGAGATCTCCTGAAAAGCTCACAGCCCCAGAACACCTGCGGTTCTAAGCACCACTTACTGCTGCCATTTGCAYCTCGTGTGGATACAGAGGATGTTTCACTTTTTCCCAGTGAGGCAAGTGCCCTYCTCTGAAGGGACAGCAAACAGAGAGGATTTCAGTTGTTTTCCTTTACCATGTGGTCTTACATAATTCCCGTGTTTGCTGCTGTGACTCCACCCTGTCTGTTATGAAAGAGATTTAGTTCTTGTGAAAATGTCTCCTTTATTATTTTTTTTTCGGAACAGCCTAATGAAATACTTCATAGTCTGGAGGCAAGGAGTTCTCATGGGAATTCCACTTTTCCCTTGTGATTTGCTTTTTTTTCTCCATTTTTATCTCAAGTTTCATCCTTCCTCTCTCCCTCTGTCACTCTTATGTCTTCTCTAGGCACTTCTTTGCCCATTTTTTCTTCTCCATATTCTTTTTTCTAGCTTTTCCCCAGGATATTTTATATCAGGCCTGTTGAAATGTTTTCTGCATTTCCAGCATGTAAAACAAAACAGATTAGGAATTGATTACCTACCTGAAATTCAGTGGCAGCAAGATCAGAAATCCCATATCAGTGTTTTTCATAAGGAAAAACTATTTGTGAAAATTTCTTTTTCCTTCCCATCTCATTAAAACATTTACACTTTGAAGCAATCAGATGYCCTCTATTTTGGAGTAATTAATCTCTGCCAACTGCACAGGCCTGGACCACTCTGGAATAAAAAAACTGCTCTTCCCTGGCTGCAGCTGAGATTTGTCCATAGAAGGGTTTTATACAACTTCAGTTCTTTTTGCTCTGATGAGCTACTGCTGACTTCTGCAATTCTTCCCTCCCAACTTGTCGTTTTTAGACAACAGAAAAAACAGTTTGAACTTGTTTTCAAAGAGTTATTGTATGAAATAAATAGAGGTCAGGGTTAATTCCAATTATGACTTCACAATAATTCTTCCTCTAACTCCTTTATTTGTGCATCAAAGTGCAAAGTCCATCACAACTTCCATGTCATGGTTGTGAGGAACATCCAGAAGGGAGAGGAATATGGGAACTGTGGGTATCAGAGAGAAAAAAATGTTAACATTTCATCATTGCTGCTCCCAACGTTGGGAGCGATAACGCATTTCTGGCACAGATGAAATTTTAAGGACGTGAATCCAGACCTAAATTCCAGGTTGTCCCCAAGCAATCACGTCACAGAGCAGTGTCCCCACACAGTGAGGCAATGGTGGCTCTGCATCACAAGGGCTCATGCTGGAACACCGTGACGCCAATGTCACGCCACAGGGATGCTGGCCTGGAATCACAGCCCTGCTGCTTGGRAAGCTGGGATATTTCACTGCAAACACAAACATGGGGCTCTGCAGTCTGGGGCAAGTCAAGGCTGCAGCAAAGTAAACGTGGAATTCACGTGTCACCTGCCCAGGCACTGCCAAGTCTTACCTCACCRCTGGGCTCTGGCCAGTTTGGAAGTTTTGATGTCCACGGTCACTTCAGTTTCTTTTATGTGCTGTGCTGATGGTTTGTGGCTGCATTTCTTACATGTCCAGTGTAATCTTGGCAGAAAAAGATAAAACTCCAAATAATCCTTTGGTCASCATCCTAAGTCTAGGCTGGAGTTTTACAGTGTCCGTGCACCCAGGGCAGGGTTCTGCCACACTGCAGTTCAGGTGTGTTCTTGCCCTTCCCAGAGGTGCTTTTCTGGGATATCTCCTGGGATATTATCTGGGATATTATCTGGGATATTATCTGGGATATTATCTGGAATATTTAGCCCCCACAAAAGTCCTGTCTGGTGGCTGCCTTTGCCTTTCCTATCACTTGTTGCCCCTGTTCCCTGCTCATTCCCATCTCCCTGTTTGTCAGGCATGATCTCTCCTACAGGCACAGCTCCTGGCTGTTCCCAACAGGTTCCACCACTCAGCCTGGCTGGTTTCACTCACACACATTTCCACCTTTTAGCAGTGAACCGGAGCTTTCTCTTTTCTTCAGAGCAGATAAGAGAAGTGTGTGTTTTACATTTGAGGGAGATGACGCTAATTTTTCATAAAGGCTTTTGTATCCCAGTATTCCTGGGAATAAACCCAAAGGTTCTTGTTGCTGCTTTGACCATTAGTGAAAGGAAAATGAAAAATGAGAGGATAGAAAAACATCCRTAATTCTTAAGAATGTGCTGTTTGATGGTGTTTTTCCCCTATCCCAGAAAAAGAACCTGCAACCCTGATCAATCATAGAAGACATGGCCTCAGAGATCTCTAAGAGATTAAAAGAAACAAAAATTTTTACAAAACTCTGGGAAGTGAGATAAATAGGAAGTTGTTGTCTGAAATATAGATCAGTAAATAGCAAAACCCATACTGAATTAATTCCCCTATGAAAGGATGAAGCACAAGGTGAGCAGGGATGAGGAAGAAGATGCTCCTCAAGCTTCTGATCTGCACAAGTGCTCAACACATTGAAGTGGACAGGTTTAAAAGGGAAGAAAATAAACTTTTGTCAGGGACTGTGATGAAAAATGGGATGTCTTGATGGGTTGACTGAAGTTCTCAAAGGCCAAGGGTTTGGTGGATTTTGTAAAAGGCTAATCCCCAATGCTGATGGCCCAATCTTTTATTMATGAGGCATAGAAAACGATCTAAACCTTCATGATTTAGGGACAACCACTCATTGACAACAAACCTTAGGGCCTGGGTGTCCTGCAGCAACTAACCCAACAGCCCAGACTGGGAGAGATGAGAAATCCAGACCTACCTGAGTGCTGAGGGCGAGATGAACCCAAGCCCTGCAATCCCCCCCGGCCCTTGGCAGCCTGGTGCTCCAGSCAATGCCAAGGATTACAACCTTGAACCCATGTGAACATCAATGGGCCGAGCCAGCAGCGAGCAAATCAGCAGCAGCCCAGGGCTCCACGGCCCACCTGGAGCACAAGGTGACCATCAGTAGGCAGCAACAGCAGGGAGCAAATCAGCAGCTGAGCCAGACCTCCACCACCATCCCCGGCAGGATAAAAGCTGGCGCTCAGGCTGTGCTCGTCCCTTCTCACACGAACCAGAGCAGCAGCACCAATGGCTCAGGAAACAGTGCACTACTCTCACTCAGAGAAAGACTTCATCTTGTCCCCTCACAGTAAGAAGGCTCCCAAAAGGATGGCCTCCCTCATGGAGCTGAAGGAGATCTTCCGCAGCGCCGACGCCGTGTGCTTCGACGTGGACAGCACCGTCATCAGRGAGGAGGGCATCGACGAGCTCGCCAAGTTCTGCGGGGTCGGGGATGCCGTGGCAGAGATGTACGTATGGCTGGGGTGATTCACACAAAGGGGGGCAAAAATCACCRTGGACAAGCTCCATCACTGAGAAAGAATTTATAATTTACAGTGTTGGAGGTTACTGCTGCTTAGAAAGGTGGTTGGGGATAATGAGTGGAATTAATGCAGGGTGAAGTAACTTCTTGTGCAATTGTGAAGCSACTCAAGAGAATTGAGCTGGCAGAAATTCTCTAATGTTAATTTTGATAACTAAGATAACTTATCATTAACCTCGGCTAAGCACTACCAAACCCTGTTAYGAACCAGCAAAGCTGACCATGAGCTGGAGGACAGGGGACAACCCTCCTGACCTATCTCCGAGGTTGGGAAACAGCAGAAGTTGAAGCTTGTMGCAAAAGCTCTATTAAATTCAGAGAAAGGCAGGCCAGCAATATGGTCCTAGGGTGGATTGGAGCCATTTTCCTGGTTCTCCCATCCATGGAGATCTCCCACCAATCTTTTGGTTCMCTATAACCTCTCTTACCTGGTTCCTTGTCTTTCTCTGTTAATCCCTRTTGTTGGGAGAAGCCTCAGCTGCTGAAGTGTCACTGATTTGCATTTGTKGCTGTCCCTTCAGGACCCGCAGGGCCATGGGTGGCACGGTGACATTCAAAGCAGCTCTAACAGCACGGTTAGGTCTCATCCGGCCCTCCTACGAACAAGTGCAGAAATTGATATCCGACCACCCACCCGAGCTAACTCCAGGAATAAGGTAAGAACTCAAGTTTGGTTTTTTTTTTTAAGTATTCAGGAAGCAGATGGAATAAATAAATAAATAAACTAATTCTGAGCTGTCAGTGATGCTGTAAGGCCACAGAGCAGGTTTGGGTTGCCCTCCTGCTCCATCTCTGTGCTGGGTGTGTGCAAAGCTTGGATCAGGAGCCTGAGTCCATGGCAAGGGGTTAAGCATCCATGGAAAAATAAAAGATTCTTAAATATTAACTGGCARTTTGGCTGGCGAGCTCAAACTTGGCTTGAGGATTAAATGGGCATGGGAAAGAATCTRTTCYATCACTGTTTTTTCAGGGTGATGGRACTGGGAGAGTAAATAACTCCTTAAATTTGGTCTATTCTGCAATTCTGTTACCTCTCCCTGACTCTCCTCACTGCARTCACACCCCTGGCTCAGCTTAAGGGACCCACTGCTCAGAGCCACTCATTCAGAAGTCCCTAAAAMCATTAAAATACTCATTAAGCAAATACACATAAATGTGTGTATTCATTCATGCTGAGGTTTGGAATGAACATTGACTACTTCAACTGAAAAGCTTTGGGGTTCTTTTTCCTATTCAAATTGTTTCCAACAATTGAAAATAATTTATTTACTAAAAAATCTGACCATATCTTCAAGTCTAAAATATTTTTAGCACGTAACAGGAGTTTTAGATGATGCTGTGCTTGTATTTAGTCTTTTTTTTTCCTGTAGAAGACAGAGCTAGAGGTAACTACAAAGAGAACATTGTTTCCTTGTTCAGGATCACGTGATTTTCCTTTTCATTCCTTTTCTTCTTCCTTTTCATTCCTTTCTTTTGTCCTTCCTTTTCATTCCTTCCTTTTCTTCCTCCTTTTCATTCCTTTCTTTTGTCCTTCCTTTTCATTCCTTCCTTTCCTTCCTCCCTTTCATTCCTTCTCTTTTCTTTCTCCTTTTCTCTGTGTCCTGCTTTAAGCCTCTGCTTCACTTTTCAGTCTTTAGTGTTTCTGCTGCCACTTCCACAGCTCCCCTTGCTCCAGGCTGATCTTTCTGCTTCCAGAGCCAAATCCCTGGAATTTTTCACYGCCTTCAAGTCCTGCTGACATCAGCTGGGGCCACAAACTTCTCTTTYTTGATTCCTTTTCTGTAGCTGGCGCCCTCTTCTAAACATGGCATCGGTGAACCAGCTCTGAGCAAGAAAACATCTGCACTTTGCACTTTTCAGCCCACTTTTGCATTTTGGAGCACTGGTTTTATCTCACATTTCCTACTTTTTGCTGCATTCCAGATTAGTTTTCTTGCTATTGTTTTACATAAGGAAAAGAAAAATCTAAACTGAATCTACTCTTGCTTGTTCAAGGGAAGTAATGTATAAAGAAAACATTTTTAGGGAGTGCTTGKTTTTGAGGAATTAAACAATGGCTTTGCCCAGCTTTTTCCAGCCAGGTGTGTGCACAAACCTGCAGGGAGAGAAGGAAAATCTCTGGGCAGCAGAGATAGATGGAGCTGGAAAGCCAAGGAAGCTGGAACAGCACAAAGCCTGGCTTAGGAAGGATTTCTTTGACCTTGGTGCTCTTTGTTACAGGGAGCTGGTGAGCAGACTCCACCAACGAGGGGTTCAGGTGTTTTTGGTCTCCGGGGGGTTTCAGAGCATTGTGGAACACGTCGCCTTGCAGCTGAACATTCCCACAGCAAACGTCTTCGCCAACAGGCTCAAGTTTTACTTCAACGGTGAGAGTCCCTCCAAATCCCCGTTTTCTCCAATACTTTTTTGGTTCCAGCTGTCAGATATTTGGATGCAGACAAYATCCTGTTAGGAATCCAATTAACTCCAAACAGGA